GTTTGTGGTTTTTTTTTTTTTTTTTTTTTTTTTTTTTTTTTACACGAGGAGGAATGCTTATCTCTATTGCAGAAAGTTTAATCATTTTTAGATTTTAACAAACTTTAAAATAGCACAGGATAAATACATACGCTTACTCTCAGACCTTTCCAAGTCTCTGGTCCTGGGCATTAAATTGTAGAAGCAGTGGGTACTCATCATCAACTTGGGTTTGCCCTCACACTGGGCGCTCATTTTGAGAGCAGTCTTTGGCAGAATAGGGTCTGGACGCTTACGTAATGGCTGTCTCCCAGCAGATCTTCCAGTAAAGACATTTAATGTTTTCCTTATTTTAACATATGCTTACTTATATAGATCACAACTGTATTTCTGAGCTAATAGAAAAATGGCTTGCCTCTCTAAACTTCCTAGAATTGCTTATTCCCAAGACATTTTTCAAAGTTAATCGATATGAACAAATGGTGAGACCTGTAGTGGCCATCTTCTGCTGTTAAACAAGTGGCTTGAAAGGAGGTCTTTTTAACAAGCTTGTCAGCTAGAAATGTGTGTAGAAACGTCCTAGCGTTTATTAGAATATATGTCTGGAAAATGCTGACTGTATAGGGCTGGTGTTGTTCTGTCTTGTTTTGTTTTTTCCTGGGGAAAACATTCACAATCTCCTTTTTAAAAGGTGTAATTAGAAAAACGGAGTAATTATGCTGTAGGTATAAGCATTTTAATATGCCGGATCTTTCTAATGGTAGTACAGTAATAGGAGGCTTGGCAAACTGTTTCCATATGGAGAATCCCATGACTTTGTAAAGTGAAAATCATCAAAACAAATGCATAGGGTCATGTGAATATTTAGAATGTAGAGGTATTCAGAATAGAGAGATATAGCTGTTCTGTTTGTGGTCATCTAGAAAAACACTTGTTATTTGAACAGGGTTTTATTTTTAGTAAATTTTGTGTACATTTTTATTATAAGCATGCATTTAGTGACTCTATTATATGTGAAGAGTGACTTGGAATGAGCAAATTCTGCTCTGCAGCGCTGCCTGAAGAGCCGTGCAGTACAGAAAGATTTCTGTTTTCTTCTGAATGATGCCCACCCCCTAGCCTTCATTCAAATCTGGGTGCTGATTGCTGCCGTGGCGGGAGGGCATAAAACCTCCTTGCCCAGGAAATCCTCTTGGCTGTTGGAGGGAGAGCTCATCCAGGGTCTCCCATCACATTTTTAAGTGATAGGAAGTAGCTTGTGACTTCTCACGCTGCTTCAGTGAAAGTTGTCCCTTTACATTCCTAACTATTTTAATAGTCATGCAGCTGAGGAGTTAATAGGGCTGGATAGGGCGCAAGGCTTGGTAAGCACGTGTAGCGCAAGCATCGCTGCAGATAACGTGCTCGGTCTTGACCTGCAACATACTGAACCTGTCTGCTAAGTAGAGATTGTCATTTGCCCCGAATTATGCACATCCCAAGTGATACAGCCAACCGCACATCAGAGACTGCCTAAGAGGAGCATGGTGGAGTAATTGTTGGTAATTTAACGATGTGAGCCAAACTGATCTGAACAAAAATTGTGAGGCTGAAAGGGACTCTAGAGTAACCCAGTACGTGTCCTGGCCTGTATGCCAACTTCCAGAAGAACATCGTTTGCTTAGGGGATCCCCTCACTAGATCTTCATTCTAAGCGTGAACTGGGAAGATGTTCATTTTCAAACCCGCTGCAACCCTCATTTATAATGAAACATCATTGAATTTGTTCATTCAACTTTAATTACTTGTGTAAATTACTTCTTAATTATTTTTCAATAAAAACAGGCCATGTAACTTTTAAGAATTAAAAAGACGCTTTGATTTTTTTTGATTTTTTTTTACTTGCCACTCCCCATGTAGGCTATGTGAACGCTATTATGTCTAGCACTGTGGTACGATGTAGATAAGCTGGAGGCAGTATTGCTGCAATTAATATTGTTAAGATACGAGGTCTCAGCGGAGCCAGTCCTACTGCTAGGGTTGCAGTGAATGATTCTGCATCCTGAGGGAAGTCTGCATAACATTATCTTAGAATTGAATGTGAATTCCCGCTATCGATCATTCGAGTCCATGTGCCTTTTGAGCTTCTTTATTTTGCTTCAGATGCTGGCATTAAAATGTCTTTTTGGATCCCCAAACACGAAGGCATGAATAACAGACCTGAATATATTCTACAAGCATACTTTTAAAATTACTTTCCTGTCCACCTGCCTGTTAGATTTTGCAGAAAATGAGAAAAAGATTGCTATGTCGGTGATACTTAGTTCTACTGAAGAAATAAAATATTAATTACACGATCAGATATGCAGGTTTTTAATTATCACTTGTCAGATCCTCCTGATTCCACCAGCTGTTTACCTAGGTTGTCTCTTGTGGATTTGGAGGTTACTCCTCCCCCCCAGCCCTCGCACAAGGTACACATTTTCCTAATGTTTTTCAAAGACTCTGGACCAGTAATGAACCAGCTCCTTCTCTTTTTTTACTCTGAAATAAAAGCTGCTGCATTAAGGTTTACCGCAGACCCCTCATCTCAGTTCTCCTCAAGAAAATGGTTGCAGTCAAGGAACAGCAGTGCTTAAAAGTTAAGAAAAGACGATTTGTTTCTAGGCAATTGCACATCCAAAAATCGCAGGCATCTGTACAGAAAAATCAAACTGACATTTAACAGTTCTTCTTAGGATTAATAATCATCGTAGTTATTTGGGAAGATCATTACACATCTTTTGGAAGTGATTTGCTGGGAAACAACAGCAAGAGTTGCGGCCAGGGAAAGAACTTGTTAAGCAATGAGATATTCTACAGAGCAAAATATGCCAGATCTAAAGGAGCAGAATAGATTTTAGGCACCAAAAGGAAATATTTATTTAGTAAACTCTGCAATCTCATTCCTAGATGTTTTTGGATCTGCTTTCTGTCTGCCCTTCCCTACCGGTCTCTATGTAAGGATTTTGAAAAATCTGGTTCTAGTTTACTTTATGTATTTCTAGTTTTTGTTCTGTTTAGCGTTGCTATTGGTGGGAATATAGCATGTTTTGGAAAACCACTGAACCTTGAACTCAGGCTTGAGCGGAAGAAAAATAATTTTCAAATATTCTGCTTTGAAAAATTTGTTAGCTGCTTAGCCTGTGTCCCACCCTCCTTTACTGACTCGGGATCTGAATTTATTTTCTTTTGAGAAATATTTATAGCTAGGATATACATTAGGGTTTAAACAAACAAACAAAAAAAAAAGAAAAGTGCGTGTGTGTATGCGTGTTTACTTTCTGTGTGCTTGTATGCAGAGATTCTGGAAGTACATTACACCACGGGAAGGTGGAATTTGCCAAGTTTAGGTCAAAACTTGAACTGAACTCATACTATATAGTTTTCTGTCTCCGCTGGTGCCTGTGGCCCACTTCTGGAGGTTTATGAGTTGGCTGAAGCCTTTGAGAATGAAACTCTGTTTTTTCAGGTCGAGCAGTAGACTCATGCTTTCAAATCCAGACATTTTTGGCTCAAGTCCTACAGATGTCAGTCCATTTCTGTAAAACAACTGAAGTGTTTTAATTGTAAATCTATCCCTTTCATGTAACTCAGCCCTAGAAATTTGGCCTAAGTTTGCCGAGAGTCTTTTCTGTTTGTCATGAACCCGGCTAAGTTAGGGGCAGTCTGGGTTTGAGTTACGAAAACGGAACGGCATGCATTTGCAGAGCATCTTGTTTGTGATTTCTGTATTCCTGTCCTAGCGGAAGGCAGCGGTCTGACCTGCAGCCAGGGGCCCTATGCTTAGCAAAGCATTTCCATAATGAGAAGAGAGTCCCTGCCCTAAAAAATACACGTGCTTAAGCATTTTTGCTTCATTTCTGCCAGAGCTGAGAAAGGACGCCTTTTCCACAATAACACAAATACACAGATGGACTCAAGGTGGCCAGGACTAGAAAAGTGGAGGGGCTATCGTTTCTAATGAATGGCGAATAGTTTTGCCCAAACACTTGGATTATTTGAGAAACAGTTGATGGTCCTGCTTGTTCCTGAGAATGCTGTATTCCTTACCATCTCAAGGCCATGGGACTAGTTCCTCACTATACCCGCTTTCAGCTGTATAAACCATTAAATTCCAGAAGCATTGGATTATGTAGCCAACAGGCAGGGTATCGCTAGACATGAGTCTGAACTGGAAATACTGTATATAATTATAATTAGTAAGATGACTGACATTGCAGTGTATTTTCTCCTTTCAGTGTAGCCTTCAGAACTGCTTCCATCAAAATACAGATGTTTCTTCTCAGTGTATGTTAGCCCAGCAAGTCTGGAATAATTTTGATTTTGCTGAAAATGCTGCTTCTTGGGTTGCTATACTTGGTAACTTGGTACAACCATGTATGAAAATGAGTGAATTTTTCTTTGGTACCCTACAGGTATCCATGGAGACACGAATCAGACACACATTGGCACAAATACGTATCTCACATCTTTACGTACAGGTAAGGGGAGCAGATAAAGTGTTTCTAACTGATAGTGGTTCTGTTACCTTAGGGCTTGTAGGTATTCTTCTACTTTACAGTCATTACTGTAAGGAATTTCTGACAACTCTGTTTCCCCACTAACGGTCTTTGTAACTACATCCCAAATGTAAATCTTTTTTGTAGGCAAAAAGCAAAAAGGGGGAATGACACAGGAAAAAAAAAAAGGCACTTTCATTGAAGATTTTAAGATGCTGAGTTACAGATCTGCAGGTGCTGTGCTGTCCCCAGTGCTCTGAACGCTGGAGATAATGCCATCTGGAGGAAGTTATTTGTTGGGACAGGACAGTGTTTTAAACTTTGAAGTCAGTAATAAACAAAGTGAAGCAGCTGGAATCTGGCAGAAGAAGAAACAAGCTGTTCGTAGCAACCCGTGCTATTGAAGGAATGAGAGCACTGCACTGGAGTGGGTTTCACATGTGCTTGGAAGTTTATTCTTGCTCCAGAAGTTAGCTGCTTCGGTTGTTACATTGGAGAGTTGATGGAGGGTTGCCGGGGATGATGGTTTTGAGATTTTAGGAAGTAATACATAGGTAATTACAGTAATTATGGTTCTGGTTTTACGCTCAGACAATCACCTGGGTCCTGATCCTTCAAACCCTTCCCTATTTATTGGCTTGAAGATAGCTCTTATCACTTACAAGATACAGGTCTGGTTTACCTCCGGATAAATTAAAAATAGAAGTTTTATTTAATGTATGGACACCAGCTTGAAGGAGTTAAAGCACGTGGTTTTTATTTGGCTTAAAAGTCAGACTTGTTTAGTCTTTTTATTTTGCCAAATAGAAAAATTCAAAAAGAAAGATTTAAACATTTTTCTTTGTTCTTATTGTTGCCATATGGTGTTAGAAACCAAACCTCCCTTCAGTGTGTTTAATTCCTTTTCCATTTGGCATACATTCGCGATGCACTCGTATATAGCATACTCTGTGTGTGACAGTACCTCTTAGAGAAAAACTCCCTTCACAGGTCACCGGATGGTTGACACACCATTAATTTTTATGCTTCTGTTAAACAAAGATCTGGAAATTTAGTACTGTATATTAATTTGTTATAGATTGCCAAGAACAGGAAAAATCTCTAATCTGAAATCTGACCTTTTCCATCAGCGGGTCACCAAGATGTTTTCAGGAACTGTTAAATTTCTACCAGTCGAGGACCCTTACACACTTATTAAGAGTGTCATTTTTTACAGTTTATATGAACGTGTGCTCTTTGATGGTGACAATGGGTTTGGAGAACTGGAGGTCACCTCAGGTCACACGTTCCCTTTATTGGATTTTAACAAGGAAAATTGTTATAAATACATCTAAGTACATGATTACAAAATTGTACTGACTACTTCCAGAGCCTCTAAACAGGGGAAAAGCTGTGGAGATTACCTGCCTTCCTGCCCTGCGCTGCTTTGTACATGGAGGAATTTTCCATTCCATTTTTGTGGCATATCAGAATATTATAAACACCATTGCAATCTGCATACTTGTGGCAGTGAAGAGCTCAGTGTTTAAGGGGAAACCATCTTAGTATTGTCTGTGATGGGGGAGGAAATAAAATGGAATATCCATTGTTAACAAAGGAGCTGGCCAGGAACTATACAAGCGCTATTGCTGGTCTGCAGCAAAAGGCAGACACAGACATCAGTAAGTAACACATATATGTGCAGGAATCCAAGCATTTAAACCTCTGTGCTTGTATTTGTGTATTTAGTCACATACCCATCCCTATATGTATATACGAATGTGTTTTATGCACTGTGCATGCACAAGGTTCGATTAAGCAAAAGGTAATAAGGATAAAGCATGTGTGAGAGTAACTTAGTGGTTGCATCTTTGGGCCAACGTAACGTTTCAGGACTAGCAGCTTTCTGTCCTGGAAAGTTACAGTCATGGAGCAGAAATAGGATATCCGTAGGGTTTTTACAGTTAAAATGCTGAAAATCCAGCTTCTGTGTTCTCTGCTTGCATCTGACAAAGTCAAAGACTTCAGTTTTCTGTCATTAAAAAAATAAATGTTTGCTTAGGGTCTTTTAAGCTTATCTTTAAGGATATTTAGGTAACTTGGGACCTGGTAACTTCTCTGTTGAGCAAGTAGATGGAATTATTCTTTTAATTTTTCTGTCCTTCTAGTGTTTTATATCTATCATAAAATTGAACTATACATTGTCTGTAAAATATATTAGCGTATGTGTTAGGAAGAATGTAGAGACTAATACGATACTTTCTTTTAGCACCCCAGAATCAAATACTTGGGAAGTTACTACAGAGCCTTAGGATAAGGGAATATTCTTTTTTTTTCACCTCTGTTTTTTCTTTTTTCTTTTTTTCTTTTTTTTAACAAACCTGAAAACAGCTGTTGAAACAATGACATCATGGAATGTGACACGACTGTGGAAATTATTAACAAAGTCAAGCTTTGAAAGCATCAAACTACATATAGTGTTGGCGAGTTGCTTTAGCGTCTAGGATGATTTACAAAGTTTCCTCGGGCATTACACATTCACGTCTTTACTGTGTGTCGGCTTCACGTCTAAGCAAATAAACGCTTTGCTTTTCTCCACTTGCCCTTCTGAATAACCTATTTTTATCACGCAAACACGGCTACAGACTAAGCTCGTGGAAGTACTTCTGGAAAAACAAAACACGTATGTTGCTTGCGTATCTTTGTGGTGTTACCATAAATGCGCTTTTGAGTCTTGTTTGGAAGATGTAGAATTTCTCATGTCTTCTTACGGCTCGCGTGTTAGGTTTGCTCAGGCCCGTGCCAACCCAAACTTTGGCAGCTGTGCTTTGTAGAGGGATTTGGGCTGGGGGTGACGAAGGCTGTCCACCTAGTGAGGTTAGTCTAGTGGATCTATGGACGTTGCTTCTTGCAGTGTGCGTGAGCAGCCGTGGCAGGCTGGTGACGTGTTGATTCCCCGGGGACACAAAAAATGCTGCTGTGCTCTTGCCACCTCCCCAGAGCCCTGCCTTCCTGTGGGCCAGGAGGCTCGGCTGGCACCAGTTGCGCCATGGACTGGCTTTACTGTCTTTGGCCTTGTTCATGTTTGATTTCCTAGGCTGCTGGCTGCCATTCTAGCATGAAAAACGCCAGATGAAATTTTATTTTAGCAGTGGGTTTTTTTTGTTTTAATTAGGCATTTGAAGCATGCTTTGCTACAAGTCAGATGAAAGCAGATTACTACTACAGTGACATAGTAGATAATTAACTGGGGTGAAAGGAAGCCTAACTTCTTGGTTTTATTGGGAAAATAGTGTTTTAATTGCCCAGTCTATCACAGAGGAAGGGAGATTTGTTATAGCTTATTGGAATAAGAACAAACTCCAAGAGAGCCTTTGCTGTTGTACACAGACTCGTGTATGTTTGTTTTGCTTGTAGCTGCTGCACTTAAAATAAATGTCCCAAGGACAACTGGAATCTCAAAATGCCCTTTAAGTAATTTGTGAATGTGGTGTGATTCATCCAGTGCCATTTCTCCTGTCCCCCTTCGTTCCATATCTGTAGCCTGATTCACATCTTGTTCCCCCTGCTCCATGAATTGATTTATCTCGTCTCCTTCCTCTGGCTAAATGTAGTAACTCTTGCCTGTGACCCTTCTCCCTTCCCATCTCTGCTATCTGGCTACAGGTTGTCTTCTACCCCTCCAGTGGTTTCCAGACAAGGGGACTTTTTGGCACTGCCATCATCTTTCACAGCTGCTCAGCAGCCAGTGCTGCTGGAAACTCTGGGGGACGTGTCCCTCTCCCACGTTTTGCAGGGTCAGATCACAAGGATGGTAAGTGGCAAGGTGCCATCTCGGACTTGCTGGAAGACGAGCGTGGCTTGTAAAGTCCTGCAAATCACATCTGCAGGGGGAGGCTGTGTACATTTTCTCTGGAGACTGTCAGAGGGTGAAAGAAGGGAGATAAACCACAAAAGAGTAGCAAGAAGGACCCTTAACAAGTCAGGGAGATGGTTTGGAGATGGGAAGGAGCCCAGCTAGCTCAATCGGTAGAGCATGGGACTCTTAATCCCAGTGTTGTGGGTTTGAGCCCCACGTTGGGTGCATCAGTTTGTCCAGAGGAGAGCAACCAAGTTGGTGAGGGGTCTGGAACACAAGTCATATGAGGAGGAGCTGAGGGAACTGGGGTTATTTAGTCTGGAGAAGAGGAGGCTGAGGGGTGACCTGATCGCCCTCTACAACTACCTGAAAGGAGGCTGTAGTCAGGTGGGGGTCGGCCTCTTCTCCCTGGTAACAGATGATAGGACGAGGGGGAATGGCTTGAAGCTGCGCCAGGGCAGGTTTAGGCTGGACATTAGGAAAAACTTCTTCACCGAAAGGGTTGTCAGGCATCTGGAATGGGAGGTGGTAGAGTCCCCATCCCTGGAGGTATTTAAAAGGATAGATGAGGTGCTTAGGGACACGGTTTAATGGTGGGATGTCAGGGTTAGGTTAAAGGTTGGACTCGATGATCTCAAAGGTCTTTTCCAACCAAAGTGATTCTATGATTCTAAAACAACTTCTCATTTGTGTTTTGGGTGACTGAAGCATTGACAGGGTGGTTTTCTCCATAGGACTTGTAGCCAATGGCTTCAACTTGGATTGCTTTGCTTTTTATGATCGCGTATATAAATGTGATATTGAACAACCTGAATGTTTTCTAAGGGTTTGATGCAAACAGACATACACATAGAGATGGAGTTTAGAAATAACTGTTAGTGCCTGCGTATCTCAATTAATTTCTGTGGAAAACACCAGTATGCATATTTGAAATTGTTCTATGGGAGATTATATATGCACACGTGTGTGTGTATGTATGGTGTATCTGTATGTAAATACAACCCAATGTATATATGCACAGAAATTCATCCCTTTGTTACCTGATAAAGAGAACTCTGATGGCTCAGACAGCACTCTGAATGCCTCAGAACCGTGGGCAGTAAGGCTGGCTGTGTCGTTGTATTCCCATGGAGTGATGCAATATGGAGATGACTTCAGTACGGTTTAGTTGTTTGCCACAGACAGCAAATAATGCATTTTGTTCTGCTTTTAAAATTTATTTTAGGAGAGGATGCTGCCTCGCATTTAAATTCACATCTTCCTGCAGCAAAGGTGTCAGTGAAGCTGCCTTCCATGAACACAGACAACCAAACACAAAGTACGAGTAGTATACACGGCGACTCAGATTCTTCAGGGACAGATACGTTTTAAAGCTTATGGCCTTCTATGACAGTCGCTGTCTGAAGATTTTGCTGTCGGTGCATTTGTCCGCCTAGCGTGATCGTCTGGAAGTTTCATCAAAATACTGGTCTTTCAGTACTGTTTATTTTCTACTACTTTTCTTACAATTTTGGTATGATTATACATTTAGACAATGATGCTGTTCGTGAATATCTCAAATATTTCTAAGCAAATAAAATGCAATTCTTTCAGAACCGTCGTGAGTTTAAGTCAATAAAGGTGAAGGCTGTTTATTTATTGTATGAACATGGAAGTGATTGGTATTAAAATCCATGGCAAAAGTCTCCTTGCTGATGGAAAAAAATGCTTGGCTCAATATAACATCACTCCCGTTGAAATGTGGAGCCAGAGGAAAATATATTTGAAACAAAAGTGTGCAAGAAAATTGTGTTCCTAGGTATCTTCAGAGTTTGTTCATCCTTAGAAGGCTGCTGTCACAAGACAGTGATTCAAAATCGTACATAAAAGAGACCATTAGAGTTTGTGCTGTTATGAGGAATTTCATTTTTTAGAATGACAAGAATTTTTCAGCATTTTGCTGTTTGTTTCCCTAAAGGTTTTTTCCCATCTTGAAGCATGGCTGAATGAGAGATTGTGTGGGTGAGGTTATTTATTTACATTTTAAAATGTAAATTTCTCCTTCTCATCAGGCAGAGCTAGTTGCTGCAGTCTCAGCCCTTCAGAAGCCTGATAATCTCTAGTCAGAAATACCAGAGTAATGAGTGACAGCAGGAGTGCATGAACGTATTGCCACCCTCCCAGGGACTGCTCCATTTTTTTATTGCCTCAACCGGGACAACGTGGTCGATCCAGCAGTGACTGGGGAGGAAGGGAGGATCGTCTGCCCCAAGCAAAATAAAAAAAATTGGAATTCAGACATGTTCCAGTAGGAACACTAGGAAGGAAGCTCTTCTCCAAGCAGGGCAAACAAGCTTTTGGTCCATTCCTCATCCAGGTTGAGCTTTTCATGGGCTATCTGTGGAAAAGAGGAGATACTGTGGCTCTTTCGAAGCCATGGGACATGAAGGCATCTCTCCAAAGCTAGAAAAAAAACTACTCCTTTTGGTTTGACTTGCACCTCGTTGTGACACTGGAGCATATGACTTCATCTGCACAGCTTCACTGCATCGCTTAATGAGAGGCACTTTGTTGTTGCAGACACCCATAACAGTGAACGCTTCCCACTGCTCTTCATTTTATGGAGCCTGCACTGCATTTCATCTCCCCTTAGCAGCAAAAGATTAGAAGTTCCTCTTGGTTTTATTTTGATCTCATTGATCACAAGGTTCAGTTGATTTGCTGCAGTATCTGCAAGGGTAAATGGAAAAAGAGAGCTTCAGCTGTTCAAGGTGGGTAATACCCAGGGGATTCAACTTTAAAGGGCGTCTCTTTAGCGTCTGATAGAGTTGATTTCTTGTCTGTCTTGACATGCAAATAGTGGGTTTGGGTGAGGAGTAAGAGCGTGGCAGGCTTCATGCAAAATGCATCGTCGCTTTAAAAAAAAGAAAAGGTACACATGAGAGCGTGTTACTGGGAGCTGGTTTTCAGCCTGTGATGCCACGAACGTTGTCTCCCGTGGTAAAGCTGCTTCCAGGCGTTCTTAGACCGTGACAAACCACCAGGAGCAGAGACTGTGCTGACACTGCTGTCTGCGGAACTGTGCTATACATCGGACTATTGACACTATCAAGGTTTTAAAAAACGATTTTGGCAGCCTTTTTTGGGAAGGTGGAGACATTCTTTTGCCCTGCAGCAGGGGCATCAAGCGGTTGCGCTGGAACAGCTGACAGCAGGGTAATGAAATGCAGCAGAGAGGGCAAGAGCTGCTTAAACCAGCTTTCCTGCAAGAGAAAACCTTCATGGAAGCATGTTCCAGGTGCCCTGCCAAACTGCTAGGCTGTTAAGGCTGCTAATATATCATTTAGTTCCCTTTGTTACAGCTTAAAAAGCGCATGAGCCGTCCTGTTCTTGCGCCCAGAGCTGTAGGCCTGGATCAGGACTGCGCTTTGCTAAACAACGTGCGGAAATGGAGGGGAGAGCACGCAGACAGCTGAGAAACCACGGGTGAGATGGGAGACAGCAGGCGGATACGCAGGCAAGGAGAGGAGGAGACCGCCCAGGCCAGCGGGAGAGGCTCTTTTCCCATCGTACCAGGAAGATAATTGCGCCAGGTTTTACTGTCTGCAGGGCTGAGCACTGCACGTTTTGCTTTAATTCTCTTATTTTTCTCTTCTTGGGAACAAATGCATTTATATCAAAGGTGGTGTCGTTGTCATTGACTGAATCCTGTAGAAATGAGCTGTGGTTGTAGGAAAACGTGTCAGAAAACACTCAGTGAAGACCATTTTCAATCTGTTTTGAAAATTCCCCATGGAGTTACATTCTCTCCCAACTCAAGGTGACTGATAAATCTTTCTGAAAGGTTCTGGGTGCCTGGCACTGTGCTTCAAAGATCTGCTGCTGGTGGGGATTACCCTGCGGCAGCGGGATGTGCCAACGTTCATCCCCACTGCTGCCTCCACTCTTCCCATTCAAAGAGAATTTTGGAGAGGTGAGGAACAGGCAAACTATTTGCTTTTCCTTCCCCAAAGCTTTCCCAAAACAAAGTATCCTACCACATAAACATAAGTGGACCTCTGTAAATCTGGCACCCCGTGCATAGATTTTATTACAAGTATTTATATTCCTAGGAAAAGCTATAGGCTGCATGGGGGAGTAGGGTTTTTTGCTTTGGTTTTAATCAGAGTCTCCATTTTTCCTTTTAAATGGAAAAAAAGAAAAGGAAAAAGTATCTTCTAGAAATTTATCTATTTCTTACTTTTGGATTCAAGTTTTGTATTTCAGATTCCTGTAAATAGTTTTCCGGAGTTCGAAATGGTAAGCACATGTTCTGTGAACACAGCCAAGCCGTGATAAGGAATTCGTCTGTCTGCGTCTCCAAGTTCCATTTTGTTTCTACAGCTTTTATGATTGAAAATGCACATTTCTCATGGGCACTCACAGAACTGAAACAGCATGATTTGCAAGCTTGCTAAATGGATTTCTTCCAAGCAAGTCATTGGGGTATGTCATCAAAGCTTAACAGCATCAAATAGAATTCCATCTAGGAAAAGTATTAAAAAACCACCTCTATACAGCTATATTTTTCAGTTAATTCTCAGCAGCAGAGAGGCGGGGGGGAGAAAGTAGGGGGGTGTTATTGGATTTCAGGATTGTAGTGTGGAAACCAAAACCCTGGCTTTATTTTTTGGTTCGACTAAATTCCTGGTGAAGCTTGCTCGTGTCTTACATTAGGCAAGTGCTAGAACGAGGGTATTTGTTTGTGGACTGGACTTGCAGTCTATGAAAAGTGCAAAACCGAAATGTCAGAAGCGTTTACGTTTGCAGAACATCTTTTTCTGACTTTGATAAGTCAAATCTGGCCGTTTGGAAGTGAGGTGCTCAAAATCCAGTGTGTTGGGTTTTTTTCTCCTCCTCTCCCTCTCCCTGAAGGAAAAAGAGAGATGCCGGACGGTGAGGGTGGTAGCAATACAGAGACTGGGTGGATCTGCGGGGATGTGTTGCAATTCCTGGCACAGGCGGGGATCCTCGCTCCCAGGCCAGCTCGGGCTCTCGGGACCGGACTCCAGCCATAAGCCGGAGGAAATTCGTCTGATGCCAGTGTCAGCCTTCCCCCTTCTGTGGAGTTATCTCGGTTTTCAGTAGAGGAAGCAGAAAATTTCATGTGCGCGCTTAATCTTATCTGAATTGGGGGAAATTGGATAAAGTGAGGTTTTTTGTTATTCCTGTTCACCTTCCTAGCTCAGAGATGGAAGTTGTCAAAATGAGCTGCTAAGAACATAAGCTAACCTTCCAAGGTGCTTTACAAATCACTGCAGGATAACGTTTCTGTCCTGACTGGGTAAAGATGTATGTGCCAACCTCCTCCCAGTGAATTGAGTACTCAGATGTTTGAAATTACACATGTGCAAAAACGTGCTGGATCCCAGACTGAAATGGAGCCGTGTAAGAGCTGGAACCCTGCAGCTGTTTAACAAAAGTTTAAGACAGAAAGGCAGGAGGATTGCGTCCTGTGGAATTGCTACGACATGAGAAGTTCATCCTTTCTATAGGTGTCCAACGGTGTGTGTGGGACTGAAAGCTATTGTATAAACATCGTGATACTTGTGCTGCTTGGCAGGTGTGTTCCTATGGAGCTCTCTCTTATTTTTTTTTCTCCCCTTCTTCTGCTGCACTCCTGATTTAGACACATGTCTTTAAAAGTTGTCTCTAAAATATTCATTATTGTGATTGTGCGTTGATACCGCCCCCAACCTTCCAGAGCTTGGATGTGATTTTGCTTCTTTGATCCTGCAGATCTGGCCAGATCATTTATCCAAATCTTGATGTTATGGTGTCCTTGAGCCAGGTGAGGGAATTACAACAGAAGCTTTTTTCTAGAAATCTCAAAAAAATTTTTGAAATCTCACTACGGTGATGTGGCCAGCTGAGCAGAGCCTATAATAATGCCCTGGGCCCTGCTCCTGCGATGGCAATAATAATACAAACCCGCAATCCTGTGTCCATATCTACAGCTTTTGTTGTATTTTGGGTAGAAGGTGAAACCCACTTTTGCCTTTTGCTCTCTGCCTTTAGAGGTGAGTGCAGAAAGTGGCCTCTTATAGTTCAGGGTTTTTTTTTTTTTTCTTCCTTATACATCGCCTCATATTTAAGTTAAAAACCAGAAGGTAAGAGAAAAGTCAAATCAGGATTGTAATTGGGAGCCTGTGAGGCACCTTGTTCATGGAGGAGGTCACTCCCCAATATTTCCAGTCCAAGAAAGGGCTGTTTGGGGAAGAGGTACTTTTTCACCTCTCTGTAGAACTTGCTTGGGGCGGAGAAGCATCGTCGTTCTGATCAGACTTCACCCCCAAGGCCTGTAGGTCTTCCTGGTTGGTGGGTCCTGCACTGAAGCTGTTGAGTACTTTGAAGGGGTACAAGAAGCCCCTGATATGGCTTGAACTAAAAGCCAGTGGGGTTCTTGCCTGTGTAATTGCCACTGTCTAGGGCAGTTCTTGGGAAAATAGTTGGGGAAAAAGACAGATGCAAAAATCAGTCATCTGAGGTGTTGAGTGGGTGCTGAGCAAAGAACTTGACTAAAACTCCAAAAACTAAAGCCAAATAGAATCACAGAATGCTTTAGGTGGGAAGGGACCTTTAGAGGTCACCCAGCCCAACCCCGCTGCAGGAGCAGGGACACCTTTAACCAGATCAGGTTGCTCAGAGCCCCGTCCAACCTGGCCTTGAATGTTCCCAGGGACGGGGCCTCCACCACCTCTCTGGGCAACCCCTGCCAGTGTTTCCCCACCCTCATTGTAAACAATTTCTTCCTTAGATCCAGTCTAAACCTACCCTGCTTCAGTTTAAAACCATCCCCCCTTGTCCTCTCACAGCTGGCCCTGCTCCCCCCCTTCCCCCTGGGCCCCCTTAAAGCCTTCACCGGCCACACTCAGCTCTGCCCGCAGCCTTCTCTTCTCCAGGCTGAACACCCCCAACTCTCCCAGCCTGGCCTCATAGCAGAGGGGCTCCAGCCCTCGGAGCATTTTAGTAGCCCTCCTCTGGCCCTGCTCCAACAGGTCCATGTCCTTGGAAAGTAGCAATCCTGCTTTTGCTGTCTCCTTTGCCGATGAGCTGGAAGCCCGGGCAGCTGCTGGGATGGAGGTTGGGGAGGAAGGGGGTGACCGCT